CCCAGCACGAGAACAGCCGTACCCAGCACGAGAACAGCCGTACCCAGCACGAGAACAGCCGTACCCAGCACGAGAACAGCCGTACCCAGCACGAGAACAGCCGTACCCAGCACGAGAACAGCCGTACCCAGCACGAGAACAGCCGTGCCCAGCAAGAGAACAGCTGTACCAAGCACGAGAACAGCTGAACCCAGCACAAGAACAGCCGTACCTAGCACGAGAACAGCCGTACCCAGCACGAGCACAGTTGTACCCAGCACTGGTACAACAGTCGTACCCAGCACAAGCACAGTTGTACCCAGCACTGGTACAACAGCAGCCAGCACCAGCTCAGAAGCAGCTGAACCCACAGCAGCAGCGAGCACCAGCAAAGCTGATGCAAACATCTAAAAACATCGTGTGCAGCGTGAACAGTTAGAACAAGTGTTAAATTTAAGTGTGTACACAGTGTTAAAATTAAAGTTGCAGTAATTTTAGTGTGCAATAGTTTTCATAAACTGTATTTTAGTACTCAACATACAGCAGAACTACTTTTAATCAACACAGTGCTAATGGCATAATGCACTGCAGTACGTATTTAATGTAGAGCATTCACAACTTCACGAAACTTCAAGATGGACATAACTTCAACAATAAGGTAAATTTATGAATTACAGTATTTTTTAGTAGAGAAGTAATATATAGGTAGAGTATGTAATATGATAATGCATTTTTATTGTGTACAAGAAAAAAAAAGACACTGACACAAACGCCTCCTGAAGGTCACCTCTTGCAACGAATCCAACGCTCCAACGAACTGGGGCTGGTCCCATATAGTACGTTGAATCGAGGTTGTACTGTACAGTCAGCCAGATTAGCATTGAATTGTCCGGATATGAAAGCCATGGAGCGGGCCGTACAGTATTAATCCCGTCTGGCTGTGGCTCGAGGCGCATGGTGGAGGAGGGGGTGGGGTAGGTGGGTGGTGTCGGGAGGGTGGGAGGGGAGCATTGGGAGGGACCACCTGGGTACAGGAATTACCATTAATTTTAGAACTATTCATCATAGCCAAAAACAAAAGAAATACTAGTAATTATGTAATAACAAATATATAAGTTTCCTGAAAGCAATGAGCACAGGCTGAAGTTTCCTTAAAAAATATTGTGAGTTTTTTCCTCCTGGCGGCCTACGTAATGTGCTATAGCTGCCCCAAGTGGACCCGTCCAACACTGGTCAACCCATGTGCGCCCGTCGCTCGTGTTATACCACAGTGCGGCGCCATTAGTGAAATATTTTTTTAAATAAGTTTTTTATTTTCATAGTAACTTTGAACATTTTTGGCCAAGACTATGTCTGGTAGCAGCATCAATCATTCTGGAGGTGTTAAGAGGAAGAAGGTTGTCCTAACAATTAAAAGACAAGTTACGTGTTATACACCTCAACCAGTGAGGAATCACAGGCAAGCCAAATGCCTTCATCAAGTGAGGCTTCACAGGCAAGCCAAGTGTCTTCAACAAGTGAGGCACAAGCAAGCGCCTTGAACAAGTGAGGTGTCACAGGCAAGCCAAGCGTCTTCAACAAGTGAGGCGCAAGCAAGCGCCTTGAACAAGTGAGGCGTCACAGGCAAGCCAAGCGCCTTCAACAAGTGAGGCCTCACAGGCCACCCAAATGCCTTCAACCAGTGAGGCTTCAACAGCTGGCAGTCAAAACTAACTTTGCTTAACCCTTAAAGTGCGCATCACTTCATATGAAGTGTAAATCGTTTTACCAGTCAACTGCGCTTCACTTCATATGAAGTGTATGGGTACCGCGCACGATTTGAATGGCCCGCGGTGTAGCTGGGGGTCCCATACGCTGCCCAGGGGCTCTAGTAAACAGCGGCCATTTTGAAAAAAAATCCAGCTCACGCTCCGATGGCATGGGAGGCCTCAGTTTAGCGAGAGTCACCATGGCGAGCGCACGGTCAAACGCCTCACGAGCACGCATCACTCAGTCCCTCACCCCAGACCAAATAGCCCACGAATTATTCTCTGAAGGTGAAGAAAGTGTGTTTGACGATTCAGACAACGATGAGGATTATACACAGTTGTCGGGAGATAGTAGCAGCAGCAGTGAAAGTGAGAATGACCGCCATGCCATGGCGAGGCCTATACGCTCTCCCATGCCTCCTCGCCCATTTTCTACCCCAATTCTACCACGACCTCACAGTTCCTGTGGATATTTTCTGTTTGAGGGTGACGAGTCAGAGGGAGGTGACTCCTTTTCTGGGTTTAGTGACTCAGATCAAAGTTTTATTGAGCCTGTGGCTGGTACCAGTGGTGTAACTGGGCGAGAAATTGTCGCGTCAGCAGCATCTCGCCCAGCCAAGTGCCACCGCATGGCACCACATGAGGGACCAAGACCCTCGTGTTCACGTGCACCCACCTCACGTGCACGTAGCCGCCGTGCTTCTCGCAGACGGTATTCAGCTCCTGGTCGCCGGTATGCATCGCTTCCTCGCCGTCTTTCCTCTGCATCTCGCAGGACGCCTGGTGTACTTGAGTGGAGTGATGGTGACGACTTTATTCCTAATATTCCTCACTTTGACGATAAAGATGTAGGGATTACAAACCTTTTCCCTAATCAAGGTGAGGACATGGCTGAGATGGAATATTTTACAGCATTCTATGATGAACCACTCATGGAATACATTGTACACCAAACGAACCTGCATGCTGCTTACCTGATTGAGAGGGAAATCACAGAATTTTCACGACTGCAGCGTTGGAAAAATACCACAGTGGCGGAAATGTATGTGTTTTTGGCACTCTGTTTGTTGATGAAGCACTGTCACAAACATGCAATAAATGACTATTGGAGCAAGGACAAGACAATACCAACACCTTTATTCGGGAAATATATGTCACGAGACAGGTTTCAGATACTCCTCAGGTGTCTACATTTTGGAAGTGTGGACATGAGCATGCTGAACTGTTTCAACATGTACCTTGTGAGAACTGGACGTAAGCCCACTTTCCGTGACTTTGTATTTGATGCTGCAATACAGTTATTAGGAAAGTTTGCAAAAGATGTCCCAGGTATTCAGCGGCCCATCATAAACCCACTGTTGCAGCATGCTGGTACTCCACGCCTCGCTCACACTGAAGGCTTCCTAGCACACAAACTTAAGTATTTGCCACCTGGTGTGAAGCGTGCAATAGCCCAACGTGATTGCTTGGTGTGTAAAACAACGACACGTAGAGACAAGAAACGGAAGCTTGTGCAAACATGGTGTGAAACGTGTGGTATCCCATTATGTGCTGTCGACTGCTTCAATGACTACCACAGTCTAGAAACCTTCTAAGTGTGCTTCAAAGTGTGTATAGCGTGTGCGAGTGTGTAAATATGTAAACATATAAGCAGAACATATAATATAATAGACTGTAATGACATATTATATTGCCGTAATTGAAAACATTTGTGTGCGCCTGTGTATACTCAAATATGCAACAATTATTGATACAAAATATGTTCAAACAGTATTTGAAACACAATTAGTGAAAAAAAATTAGATAAAATGCGCTTAGACATTGTAAATAAATAGCGCGAAAATATATTTGTGGCAACTCTGGCTGTTTGAGGACCGCGCACAACATCTCCCGGGCGTGTACTGCATGAGCGACCATGCAGATTGTGACGTCATCGCAGAGCTTCTCGGCTCTATTGCAACAAAAGTAAGTACAATATAATTTTTTTTTTATTTTTCCCGTGATCAGTGAACAGAACTTAACAGATTAGCAAAAAAAAAAAATTTTTTTTTTTTTCAAAATGACATGCGCCTGTGTGGATAGCAGGATATTAGACCCTGAGCATGTTAAGGGTTAAAGAACTGTACAGTAATTTTAAGTGTTAATTTTAGTGTTGTGTTAGTATAAGTTACATAAATTGTTAAGAATTTTTAACAATTTATGTAACCAGGGGCTTACAAGCCCCTGGTTACATAAATTGTTAACCGAGGTACCCCTCAGGGGTACCTCAGTTTAAGAGTTTAATCCGTTCCTGGAGACAGCTCGTAATCCGAAAACTCGTAAACTGAAGCTAATTTCCCCATAAGAAATAATGGGAAATGAATTAATCCGTTCCTGACTTCCCAAAAACCTTACTTCAAACTAAATTTTATACTTAATTCATCTAAATCTACACTACAAAAGTATGTTCAAGTTATTACTTACCCTTGCTGATGACTGCTGTCGGCGTATGGAAGATGGTGAGGAGGGAGGGAGGGGAAGAGGTGTTACTGTTTGAAAAGGGAGTCCCCTTCCATTATAACATCAGGCAGTAAGGACTTCACTGGTGTGCACTCTCTGGCACGTTTTGCCTGTATACCACTAGGACTTGCTTGTCTTACTAAGAATCTGTCTAAAGACACTTGCTTTTCCCTACATTTTAACTGTAGTAATGTATTTCCCTACATTTTTCTGTCGTAAGACATCACATTGTCATTTAAAAGGTCAGTGCAACGGCCTGCTACGGCTTTATCTGGGTGAGTTTTTTCAGCAAAACTTTGCAGTTCTTCCCATACTTCACACATTTTCTTAATGAAGTAGGGACATCCTCTACTGCCTCTACTCACAACTATTTTCTTAGGTTGAACCTTACCACTGGCTTTCTTGAGACCCATGGCGAGATATATAATAACAACTTTTATGCTCAAATGGGCAAAAATCCGACAAAAAACTGTAAATCCTCGTGAAAAATTCAGGAGGGATAGTCACTGGGCGCGAGGCACTGGTAAACTGAGACACGATCACCGTGTCTAGTCGGCCTGTACATGTATCAACACCCTCGTCTTCCGAGGCAACCCTCATATTCTGATGCAAATTTTCCGAGCAAATTCTGCTCGTATTTCGAAAACCCGTATACAGGGACACTCGTATTCCGAGGTACCACTGTATATGAGAGTTCAGTATTTAAGAATAATTACGTAACTTCTAATTAATCCAAAGAAATATGATACAGGAGGAAACACATGCAGAACTGACCTTAACTCTTGCCAAGTGAGATGGTGTCATGAGATGGCTGAGATACTCTGGAATTGTTTCACAAAATATATCGCACAGTTTACACCAGTGCATGCCTTGGTCCATATAACGAATGTAAGCCTTCTGGGAGTCAATTAGAGCATGCAGGAAAGATTCATCCGACTTTTCTTTAGATGACTCAAGTTGACTTCTTCCTTGATGACTTGCCTGTTTTTTTTCAGCGTTTTCTTTAAATGATTTTGTTACAGATTCATTTTTCACCGATTTGGGAGTTGATAAACATCTCTTACTATCCTTTGATAAGCCTGGAACTGGTGACACTAATTTATTCTGTTTTGGTAATTTTAAAGTTGACTTAAATGGCTTCTGTTCATCATATTCTGCTGATACTGAAGGCTCAACAGACTTTGTTTTCTTGTCTTTTTTTAAGGAAGACAAACTTGATTCTCTCCTCTCAAGAGAATGAAGAAACTTTTGCTCTCGAGGGTTATGAGGATTTTCAAAATTCTCTCCTGAAGTTAGTTTTGGCTTTAATTTAATATCTCCTCCTTCAGCTTTAATTTCCTGGTTGACCTTAAGAACCATATTATTTATTTTTAAAATCTGCTGTCCTATTTCACTCATAAGCAGCGAGTTCTCTTCTAAAAGATTTGCAAGATTTCTTTGGCACCCTTTGTGGTTCTTAATGATGTCATCACGTTTCTCATTCATCAATTTTTTTTGCTCCAGTAACATTCTTACTTGTTTAATGAGAGATTCCCTTTTGGAAATGAGCATCATCACATCCCCCTTATCATTTTTAGCTTGTGGTGATTTTTTCAAACCCTTAAGTGTCTCATTATCACTTTTATCTGACCGAGACTCAGAATCGGAAGAACTTCTCCTGCGCTTGTTCCTCCTCTCTCTATGGTGTTTATGTTTTGATCTCCTTGGACTTTCAGATGATTTTTTAGGTTTATGTTCTATTGATGTCTTTTTTGTAGAGGTTCCACCTACTTCAGGAGAAGAAAATGAAGAATTAGTTTTTGAAAAATCCTTCTTATGGTCAGCAGTTTGTTTTAAAGGCACACTGAGTGTGGCTGCTTCAAAAGTACTGGCAGAGGCTGAAGACGAAGAAATTGTTGGCATAGTGACATCACTCTTTGTTTGTAGTACTGGGGAAGACACAGCAACTGATGATGACTGTTCCTTTGGGTAAAGAATATTCTTGGATTGAGATAGTTGTTCTGCACGGTGATCAAGATTTATGTCATTTAAGTGGGCTTTTTCATTGGATACAACAGGCTCTGGCTGAGGAAGTTCTGTAATTGTAACAGTTTTTAAATTTGATATATCTCTTCCTGATATTGCACCCTCTTCATGAACTTCAGGCTTTTCTTTT